CTACCCCCTTCCCTTCACGCGACACATGCTTGTAATTGAAGCATCTAAGCAAGGAGCTCTCTTCACAGTTGATGCAGAACCAAAACACATCCAGAGGTTAAAAAGATTTAGATATGCTGAAAATCTGAACTCAGCCAGCAGTAGTAATACCTGTGGCTCCCATCTCTAGAGCTCTTCCCTCCTGCTTTGCCTAAAGATGGACTTAGAGCAACTGGTCTCAACTCCACCACGTCAGTGAGGTGTCCCTAAAACAGTCTGAAGGGCAGATGAGCCAATGTGATGAATGCAGACAGGAGAAAGAGGGGCCCGTTCCCCATCCCTCCTCCCGGACACACACTGCTGCTGCTATGCAACTGCTGACCCAGGCTGGCTCAAAGACCCCTTAGTAAGCTGATTCAGTTTCATAAACTAGCAGAAAATTAACTCAGCAACAACAAAACATCATTTTTCTTCCAGGGAAGCAAATTCAGTTGGCTCATAGAAACATAAACAAGCTCTACAGGCAGTTTTGATACAATAAATCTTATTGAATGGGTCTAAAATTTTGGCACTTCTCTCAAAAGTGAATGCTAATGAAGAAATATATTCCAGATGATTACAGATTTCTCTTATATGGATAATGCCCCTTATCTGAGTACACTCTTCCCTGTGAGCCATTATTGTAGTTAGACTACCATTTAAATTCTCAGCCCTCACATTCTTATTTTACAAAGAAAAACTGAGGACCTAGGTATTAATTTCAGAAAAACAAATTGGGAAAAGCAAAAAGATAACTAACTGAAAATCAAGTATTATAAAACAAAACTAAACGTTTTCATAAGGTGACACAAGACCTTCTTCAAAAAGAATACCTTTTTTTGCACTTACTAGCTCTCCACCATAACTCAGAGTTCTGTTTCCTAACACATCAGTGACATGCCAGATAAAAAAAGTGTAAGTTCACCAAGGAGGAAGACAGTGAAGCACTCAAAGGCCCAGCAAAGTTCAGAAGCTGAGCAAGATGATTCCAAACAGAATTCAATGTACATAAACACAAGCCAACCAACTCTTGGAACAACATCTGCTTCATGTATCATTGTAATTCTTCCCTAACTGAAAGCAATGAACAGTATTGACATTATGCCTGAAGGACAAGCAAGATCTCTCCATTTAACAGAAGAAATATCCCAGTTATATTTCAAAAATATTCCAAATATTAAAAAAATATCCCAAATATTCTAAAATTACAAAGCATTCCTTTGAACACTCTTCTTGCACAGATTGTCAGCAATTTTTATCTGAAGCACTCAAGTTACAACATACACATGTGGCAAAATGCCCACTGAAAGGTGAAAACTTGAAAACTCCCATAGAGCATCTCCTGACTACCACTACCACAACAAATACACAGAACATGAGTACAAATTTTTGGTACACAAACATTAAAAAAAATGGCTTTTTATTATTACAGCATTGTAGGTAAAATGTGTTACACTAATTCATAAACTTATCTTGGTTTTGATTTGATAATGATGGAGACGGAGCATGAAGAACTTTTGTTTAAGCTGACTGCTAATCTGATGTGACTGAGCTTTTCCTTAAGCACTAAAGACACTTAACTCGACACAAAGATCCATCCAAGCTGCCAGTCTTCAGCTATTTACTCAGCTTATTCATTGTCCAATCCTTCTGCCCAGCTCAGTATTACAGACACTTTTCAAACTATTTGTAAATTAAACATTTGCAGGACATAAAAAGACATCAAATTCTCATTACCTTTCCCCCTTGGTCTCGGAAGAAATCATCCCACTTTTTCAGCAGAGATACGACGACAGAGTTGTCATGATGCTTGATTAAAAAATAAGGTAAGGCTGTAACCCCTTCTTTCTGACAAAGTTCATCATAGGCTTTCTGAAGTGCTTGAATCTAAGAGCAAAAAGACAACTGTAACCCACAAAAGAACAGAGTCCCACTCCATTCTATGTGTTTTCAGTGTTTATTTGAAACTCTGTCTTTGGATCATGACAGGTATTTTCACACTATTTATTACTACAGAACTAATGAGGGTCTTCTGAGAAGAAGGGAACCAAGCATTTTTCACTGAAAAAACCCAAAGTGTTTCTCATTATGCCATTAAAAAGCCATTCAAGGTTTTGCACTAACTTCTGTCAAAGCAAAAGGCACACGCAGGCATACTGATTTACTTAAGGAAAGAAAATTGTTAACTTTGCTCCTAATAAAACCAAAAAAACCCTATCCAGTTCTTTTACCTGTCCAGTCATGCATTTTATTAAGAATTTTGTAACTGCTATTAACTTAGCACTCTCAGGGGAATATCCCTTTAAAAAAAGGTTCTTAAAAGTATAATGAGTTTCAAAAACATAACTATATTTTGTGTAAGCTGTATATAAATATTAAAATTAACATAACCATTCTCTTCAAGAATTGTTTGCCACCTCCACATCTAAATGAATAAAGCTGAAATGATATTGTATGAAATCTCTTGGATTAACAACAAAAAAGAGGTAAACAAAAAACCCACCAGGAAATAAGAAAAGTGAAGACTTTAAAAGAAGTAAGATTCTCAAATTAATTCAGTATGTGCTAACAAAAATATTCAGTCTTACAGCCCACAGAACTGCTTAGGGCTGCAGACTTCATAACATTTAGTATTTTCAATACCTGATTTAATGGGAACCTGTCACCAAGACATACTGGTTTCTGAATTATGTGTATTCCATCAGGGAAGCAGAGAGCAGGGTAGCAAAACCAGTAATAGAAATTATACTTTTTTAAATCCTAGGAATAAAAAAAAATAAATCTAAAATTAGATAAACATATAAATTGAAGTAAATTATGCTTCAGAATACTAATCATAATTGATGGCTGATGACAACCATTGTAATCACAGTTCTCTTCACAACGCACTGTGTGATGATTTTAGATTATACTACAAAAAACGCTGTAAGACTTCCCTTCTCTGTATATGATTTTATTTAAGATTTAAACAGTGTATGTACAATACTTCAGTTTTTGCTAGCTGGAACTTTATTAAAACTTTCCATTTGTTAAACATGGAACAGTTGTTCTACTTTTATTAATATCTCTAAGGTTGTCAGGTAATCTTATATATTTGTAGAAACGAATATCAGATGGCGCCAGCAATTTTTAAAGAATATATCCTAGAATCTGCACATGAGAACAGTTTATTAGTTTCCTAAAAAACGTTTTCAGACATTTTAAGATAACTGAGAATGATCCTGATAACATTAACATGCTGATACTAATACATCATTTCTTCTAAAAGGAAACTACTTCATTGTTTCCACTACACAGTATGAGCCAGGTTACTGTTACTCACTGCGAATGTCAGCAGCAGGAACCTGTTCAAGAGCAAAGGGTTTTCAAGAGCAGCTCCAGATTTGATTGATTCCCATATCTGTCGTTGATTGTGGGGACAAGAAGGAAGAGAAGGGCCAGAGGAAAAAAAAAAAACAACAACAAAAAAACACCAAAGTAACATAAGAACAACTGCAGAAACCTTTAATTCTTCCAGATACCTTTAAAATGCTGAAATTAATATTGCCAATGACCCACTGTGATCTTTTCCTAACTAGCCTCATCCATGCTATTATCTATGCTAAAAAGATTCTAGAGGCACAGACACATACTCCCTACAACAAAGATTACAGAAGCTGGGGAACGAGGGGAGCATTAGTTAATGGATCAAGCGTGGAGCTTCAAACAAACCAAACCTCACCTCACCAGGAACAGTCCCTCAGGTGTATGAACTATTAACACCAGCACAAGATAGAACAAACTGTGGTAGTAATACAGGCCTTGACTGTACTCTCATCTTTTTCATTCATGGGATCTCTAGATACTAGATATGTGATCAAGGCCTTTGTCAAAACAAATTTTTTAAATGTGCTCTACAGAATCCAAGGCACTGGCAGCTCCAAAAGCACTGTTAAGCTTCAAATGTGGCCTAGTAGAATACTGAATGAAGTCCTCCAAGTATAATTAGCTAGTTTTTACACTCTTGTAAAGGACAGTAAAAAGCAAACATTAACCTGTTCCTTCCCAAAAAAGTTAAATCCCAAGGCTACTATATGGGTGAGCACAGGCAGCCTCTCCAGTATTTGGGGCAGAGACTGTAAAGCACTTTACTGGGTAATTCCAAACACTTTCTACCAGTTGATTCGAATTTTAATCTTACCTCATTTGCTTCTTTTTCCAGAAGTGACTTTTTATCACAGGATTTGAAAGTCTCAAAAGTGTTGGTATTATACAATGTTCCAAAAGCAGGGCAGCAATGGGCCGGTATTGAAGCATTCCTGAATAGAAGGAAGAAACCTCTGGAATTGGATCCTAACATCTCTAACATGACCAGCAGTAGTTGCAGTAGCTATCCTATGGTGTAAGTTTGCCCTGAAATTGTCAAATGATGAGGCACAGTAACAAAATTTAAGGATGGTTGTAATGACAACATTTTATATTCATGAACATGGATTGGTAAAAGAACCTGTGCAAATACACGTCTGCATTACGACTTCAAAAACAAATCAGGCATCTGTATTATCTCAAAACAAAGGGGCATTAAATCACAGACTGAACACTTGAAAATTCTGTTGAAATATAAACTGTCTGTGACAAATGTGATTTTCACAAAGAAAAAGTTAAGACTGAACTTTAGATGTCAATCTTTTATTCACATGTTTAAAAAACATCTCAAAGGAAGCTTAAACCAGGCAAAACAATTGAGTAGCTGTTATAGTTTGTAAACATCACCAGCTGGAGAAGAACAGTATATATTTTTTTTCTCCCTTTTTGAATGTAAATGAGGTTACAAACCTACAATATTCCCTTAATTTATAGATCCGATTGATTTCATTGACTCCCTTAACATCGTTCTCCTAAACTGATATGTTCATGATCACTGCTAAAACTCAAACACAGGAAATGTTTAAGTTACATAGTAAATACACATTGACGTAGTTTCCAAACAACTTTGAAGCTAATAGGGAACTCCTTGTGATCATCAAAAGTGACTACCTAAAGTACAGAAAATTACTACAGTAGGAATAAACACTACGTAAATGGACCTTTCCTGATTTTTTGTCATAACATTTGAGAGATCAAATACCGTGGTACCATCTGAAATTCCTGTTCCAGTGTCACAGCTTTGCTCCCACTGCACTTTCCTACACATCCTTTCAGTATCATAACTGAAAGCTTCTACCTAAGAATCAACAGAATAACATCTAAGAAATCACCTCAAAATGCACAAAGCCTCTCCAGGCTCCTGGCATCCTGACCAAGAAAGGCAGAGAAAGTATCTTCTGTGATTTACAACTTCGTAATCCATCAGTTCAAAACAAACAAGATGATAACTCCAAAGACATCTGTTCCTATGTTAGTTTTGCTAACTCTGGCATTTGCTGGAAATGAAATCTGTGTGGAAAAAGTATTTCCCTTCTCTTATTTTTGCTGCATACTCTGAGCAGCTTTGGCTTACTTTTCACTCTGGGGATAAAGACAAAAGTACAGAATTCCAGTCCTAAAAGTGAAATACTTTGGAAGATAATAAAATGTAACAACTAGGGATGGTAAAAACTATTTTGATAACTTAATTTTAATGACAAATCCTTAGTAAATAAAGATCTAAAGAAAAATTTGATCGTAAGTTAGACAACTGAAATATGCTCCATTACACAGAAGAGCTGAAAAAATGGGGAAAAAAAACCCCAGTATTTTATATAAACATATATAAAATTAAGTGAATTTGAGACTTACCAGCATATTTGAAACTTGGCCTTTCATATTATTACACTGCTTCAGACACAGGGAGCTAATGCTTGTGACTCAAAGCAGTTTCTCCACTGTTATAAAGTTCATGAAAATGTGTATTTATTTTCATGGAAAATCTGCCCAAGTATTATTATATATCAAAGCATCACTGTTAGCAGGGGAAGTGTCTTCACATAGGAATTAAGATAAACCACAGTACATACTTACATATCAAAGGCACTAAACTCCAGTGTCAAGCGAGCTGGCAAACCCAAAGGATCACCTAGACAAAAAGCAGTAACATGCTTCTTTTAAAGTGAAATATGTAGGTTAATTTCCCTCTTTTTGTTAGCATAAATTATAAACTACCCACAGATACACTACAATTCACAGCTCACCCAGCCATGTTCCCTAATGTTTCAGCCAAATACCTAAAATACGTCACACAAATATTCAGAGGAGAAACCCAAACAGCTAAGCAAGAGGTTCGGTTTCTACCTACCATTGTAGTAGTACCCTTTGATAACTTTGGGGGTCTCATCCAATCGGTACTCGTTGAGCTTCTTCTGGGTCAGTTCATGCCAGAATCCTGCATCCAAGGCACTACTGAAGGGAGCAAACTGCAGCTTTGAGATTCCAGGATCTACAGGGTGGTGCAGCTCACTCCCGGCATCTGCCATGTCTCTAGTTAAGAGGCGCTGTTCCACAGAACTCTGTAAAAGCAGAGGCACCTCGTGAGGAGACACACAACTGACTCAATTACCCTTCACTACTCAAAGCTCCTTTTTAGTACAGTTTGTTAGGGTAAAGTGTGGAAAGCCTTACTCTTCTGAATGTCCAAGGAATTCCAGTTTTTAAAATCCCTGATCAGAGAACCTTTCAGTCCAAGCAAAGTCCTTCCAATTTCTTGCATGTAAAATTATGAAAGGCAAGTATATGTTCTGCTTGGCCAAGCTGCCTAGGAGTACTTGATTTCCTAAAGACATCACATGACTTCTCCTATTACTTAAAATACTACTTCTGAACTATGCACTTCTGAGTCTACCTAGGTAGTCATCTAAAAGTCAACTTGTATCACTTAAGTTCTGATGGAATTTAAAATCCAAACTAGTGCTTCACTCTCAGCCTGCCATGAGAGCTGAACACCCATAAGCTTTTACAAATTAACATGGAAAACTAGCACAGGGAAACGAAAACCAAGAAAAGTCTTGCAGCGAGTGAAGGGCAAAGCTGGAAACAGAATCCAGAACTTCCTTAGCACTAGCCACTAGAAAGTCAATGTGGTATCCAAGTCTGGATTATTTCCTTACAGTTCTTCTCTCCTAAAGGTCTTTGCACATGGGAAGTACTTATTTTATTTTTTTTAATAACACAAATCACTGCTCCACATGGGCTAAGCAGTATTTCTTTAAGCACATAGTTCCCAATTCACCATACTTACAAATCACAGCATTTTAAATGTTACTTCAGAACGAGGAGTAAAACATCTAAACTGGGCTACTTCAACCAGGTGCAACAGTCCCCCGGCTCAGGCTAGCAGCCTTCACTTCACTGGGAGCCAATTCAGCTCCATCTGCTCATTTTCTCACAAACTCATCCAATCCTCAAGTGTTGCCCTCGAGAATCTCCTTTACCTACTATTAACATCCCTCATGTCTATGTCCACACGTGCTAAGGTGCAAGTTTTCAGGGACACAATCCACGACACAGAGGACTCAAAAACTGTAGGTTTTTTGTTCACAACACTCATCCAATCATCTTGAAAAGATTCCTTCAACCCACTAATTTTTAAAGACTAAATTTTTTAGATTCTGCAACATAATCCCACATGATCTCGTTTTGTTACTGACCCTTCACGAGACCCCCGTGACCTTTACAGATGGATCAATGGTAGGATTTTACACACAGGAAAGTCAAAACAAGGTTCCCAGCATACCGTTATCCAAGACCAACCTTAACAGATGCACACCGGTTTTGCTGCATTGTAGCTGGGTTTGAACAATTCCCAGTTTATTGTCCTGTGAAGTCACTTGTGCAGGAGAAACAGAACTTCCATGAGTCTCTTTCCTGCTTTTTGTAGCAGGGGGAAGAGAATGAGAGGTGGACCTGATGTCTTAATGACTGCCAAACAGCCCAGCTCGTCTCTGAGAGCAAGACCCGGTTATGCTTCTCCTTACACAACACTCCCTCACAGCCTTCAATGTAATCCAGCTAGGCCTTCTATGTCCAGTTTATACTGGAAATTCTTCCTTCCTTGCTGGCCACTTGTGGAATGTGGGGGTTTGGCTAGAGGTTTGAGGTTTTCCATATTTTTCATAGAGAAAGCTAAATGTTTCAGTTCTGTCACGATATCTTGTTTTAACCATCACATTGCAAATACATAATTTTGTCATCTCTTGTCCTTCCCCTCTGCCTTTCTACTTCTTTTTAAAAATATTCTTAATTTTTAAGAGCAGCTGGAATTTCTGGGAGCATGTCCTGTCATAGTTTACTTGGAAAACCTCTCAAATCTCTATTAACATGGAAAAAATCAGTTAGTTTCTTGAACCATTGCAAGTACTAGAACTACACACATCCGAATTAGCTGAATGGAATTTTCTGACCATTTTTATCCATTTTTCTGTGTCCAAGACATAGGAGCAGCAAAATAAACTAGCACACATTTAATTTTTACTACTACACAGGTCTTAAGACTTACAAAACTTTCTGGTCTGCAATTAAATGTCACAGAAAGCTTATCATAAAACAGGCAAACAATTGTTTGTCATATAGATGTTAGCAATAACAGACACATTACATGGTACTTGATGCAAAGGCTGTCATAATAAATCTTTCATTCCCAGGTTCAATAGCTGGCTAGTCAATATTACTCATAAGATCCCCCATCCCCTCTTTTTCAGAAGTTTGGGAAGGTATTATTTAACACCTATAAAAAATAAATTACTAACAAAAAGCAACAAAGTTGTTGCTTTCTTTGCCAGACAAGCTCTATTGGAACTAACTAATTTACTCATTCCTTCAAGTCTTTTTCCAGCTTTTCAAACAGGTGGCATTTTACCCAACACTAAGGTGTATTATCAAACATTTCAAACCACCAAGAAGCTGACAGTACCTGGCAGCACCTGAGGAACACAGAGAGAAAACACCAGCCTAGAAGGATCCATTGGGAATGAATTTTAACAGCCTGCTTGTTTTCATTATTACCTAAAGAGTTCTTGTAAAACTGAAGGAATACAAACAGGAGGCCTCGCTGTACATGCAAAGAGAGAAGCAGATAAAATGAACTCTGACGTATTGATGCTCCTGAAAATAATTTACTTCGATGTAAATATTCAATAAGCCAAGGTAAATTTGTGCAACAAGTTTTAGAAAAGTGAAGTAAAAGATGAAATACATTTTGTAGAACTTGTATAGAGAAATTTACACAGCTACTGACAGTAACAACAGCCAATGGGAGAATATAATAAAAAGGAAAAAAAGACACATCCAAAACTTTAAACGTGGAGGCAACCTTAAGAAATCTATCCAAAACTTTAGATGTGGAAGAAACCTTAAGAAAGCCAACCAAAACTTTAAATGCAGAAGAAACCCTAAGAAAGCTATCCAAAACTTTAAATGTGGAAGAAACGCTGAGTTTCAAAAGGGCACAGTTGAAAACTGGGCTTGAAAGGAGCAGATTTACCATACACTTTAGATACTCCTAAACTGTGAGACTGGTAGGAAATTTCCCAAGTGTCATCAGTAAGGATAACGCCAACTATAGAAGCACTATCACTAGTCTAGGCTCTAGCACTTGTTCTTAAATAACAAGCATTTAGAGCTGATCTCACAGAGAAATATAAGTGAAAAACACACCAGGACCTGCAATATCCGTCCTCCCCTTGACAGACCTAACGAATCTGTTGTAAGAGTATCACCAGCGTTTAACAGCGTTTAAAAACAGTGAAGTTACAAGTTTTAAACCAAATCCACCCAATCCCCTGCGGCTTTTACACCGAACTCCCGCCTCGGCGGAGCAGAGCAGAGCCGAAGCGCTCCGCAGAGCTCCGCTGCCCCGGGGGCCCGCCCCGCACCCCCCGGCCC